GCCGTGCCTCCGCGCCGAGCCGCCGCCTGCTCCGCCGCCTCCTCCGGGCTCCCCACGCAGCAGCTTCAGCCGCCGCAGCTGTGTTTGGGTTTTTCTCTTTCCCCGAGCTGGTCGCCCTGACGATGGGAGCGGGCTGCCCTCCCTCGAAAGCCGCTTGGCACAAAGGTTGGCTTGTGGCCTCCTGTAACGCTGTCGCAGGAGAGCGTCTCAAAGTCTCTTCTCGCTGTCTCTGCTGTCTACAAGCAGGCAACACAAAGAAAAGAAAGCAGGTGCAGGAACCCCCGTCCCCATCCCAAGTTCTAAGATTCCCAAATTATTGTTGTTTTTAGAAGTATCACAAATGGCAAGCGCTTAGCTACCATGGAAGGTGTGGGAGGCAGCAGCTCAGGTGTCTCGTGAATCCCACATCTTAAAAATCAGCTCCTGAGCCAGAGCAGTCGAGGGAAAGGCTCATGAGCGAGAGCAGTCGAGGGAAAGAGGCCTTTTGGGTTGCTTCCAAATGAAACAGGACTCTCTGTTTTTCCTCTGTTCCTAGGTTCATCCGGAATTGTACGTTGACAAATCAAGGGGAGATAAACTGAAGATCAATCTAGACGTTATTTTTCCACACATGCCTTGCGCTTGTGAGTCAGACTTCTCAACGTTGGGAATAATTTTCATACTTGCCGAGGGCCCGAGAGGCTCAGTGTGCCTGGTGCTTCCGCATGCTGCGCTGCTGCTTGGGCCGCGGACAGGGAGGAACTGCTGATCCCTTGCGGTTACGCAGTGATTCCAGCCAGGCCCACTGGGCGCTTAAACCAGCGCTTCCCATCGGGCAGTGTTATTTTTCTAGATTATAAATGAGGCTACAATATAAAGCCCCTTACATTTCTGTGTGGCGGTGTACTTTGTCAGAGAGCTCAGTAATACCGAAAAAGCTGGCACAGAGTTCACTTGGGACTCAAGATTTGACTGTATTGTTGTTGAAAAACTTTAGAGTCTCGTTTGGAAGTTACTTGACGAGGCACGACTTTTCCTTGGCTTTGGTACTTAAATTCTGACTGTAACGCCAATGCCATGTGGTAACCTTTCTCCAAAATTTTTAAAATGAGAATGAGTGTTAATAATCTGGTTACCTTTTAACTAAATCGAAAACAAAGTTGCAGGACAAAGCGATGGAAAATTTTGCAAGTCTTGCTGGGTATTACTGCTGTGCACGTTATCCAACTGTCCGCTAATCTTCCCTGCCTCTTGTTCTGTTGTAGTAATTCCTTTGGGTCCTGCATTGGGCTCTAAATGTAGTGAGTCTGACTTCCTTCTGACCACCCAAGATATTATTGGTCTTTGCCTTCTTCACATTTAAAAGGGCATGGGAAGGCCAGAGAGGCTGGAAGCCTCTGCTGTTTTGTGCAGAGAAGCTGTCGGTCTTACAAGAGAGCATGTAGCCAGCCAGTGCGTCATGGTGCTTCGATACCAGGCCAAGACCACAGACCTTCTCAATCCTACTTGTGAAAAGGGATCGCAAGGAAATGTGCTGATGTTGAAGGGGGAAGGGTGAGGGGTAGAGGTAGGAGACAGCTTTCAACCGATTTTAAGTTTAACTCGTGAACTCCTGAAAATGGTTATGGGCTTTGGGGGGTTTGGTTTTGTTTTTTTGCCTTGAGTGTATTACCTTTCAGGGTAACGCTTTCTGTGGCAGTTGGAAACAGTCCTTCTTGTACACCAAACCAGATCCCGTATTTGGAAGGGTCATTTAGGGTGCTGCAACATGCATTTTATTCCCTGTACGTCATTTGGCCCCAACCGTACCTGCTCGCTGGTTTCAGATTTGAGCATCGATGCCATGGATGTAGCAGGAGAGCAGCAGCTGGATGTAGAGCACAATCTGTTTAAACAACGTTTGGATAAAGCTGGCAATCGTGTGACTCCAGAGGCCGAGAGACACGGTAAGATGCTATTCTGCCTTTCTTGGGTGCGTGCTCTCGTAGTCTTTCCATCCCTGTATGCCTGTTTTGAGATTCACGGGAACAAGTGGCAGCTGAAGAGCATTTAAACACCACAAGCTCTTGAAGAGTTTATAGCACGCCAATCTATTAAACTGGCGGATCAGGCAAACTCCTATTATACTCGCTACTTTTGTGAGGCAAATCTTTGTGTAGTCCCTCTGAAATTACAACAAGGACTCATGGATGCGTTTCAGGCATAAAGCTGCTGAGTTCCTGGTCTTTTGCGACTAGAAATCAAGCAGCTGTTCTGGCAAAACTTGACTTTGGTTGTATCTTTAAATCACAGTGGGCTGACAAATGGGACGACCTGGTTAGAGGAAAGAGCGTCTCTCCAGGGAAGGCTCCGGTGACTCGACCCTTAAGCCCAAACTTGCACCTTGCTACATTTACTTTGCATGTGTTAATGCATACCTGATAAACATATTTTAGCTGATTTATCAGTTACAAGTTGTAGTAAGTGGTCCTTGGCTACACAAAACTTCTCCTCTACCATTTTTACGCGTTATGGCTCATCGTTGTACCTCGATACGCACCAGAAGCGATTCTGTCAAAGCGTCGCAATCGAACGGTAATACCGTCCTGACTTTTCCCTTCCAAAACATGAGCTGCTTATTGCCTTTTCTGGGAGATAGTATAGTTCTGCCTGTCAGCATGAACTAGATTTGTTGATTTGTATCACTCAGATTTAACTTTTCTGTTCTTGAAGTTGAAAGGCTAAACCAAGGCAAGAGCTGAACGATCGGTAGGTGCGAGAGTATCTCCCGTTGTCACGGGAATGTGGTGATAGTGTTCTTACTATCGTGTCAGCGAGCAGCCTTTCTGTATTCAGAGGTTGTGGCATTACAAACGTAATGTCCAGGGACAAAACCAGCTTTTCTGTATCTAATTCTCTGTTAACACGTGTAGGCCTCCTGCCTTGCTAGTATTGCCAATGTCCATTGGGATTAGTCTGTCTGAACCGGTTGCTCTGACTCCTTATATAATCAATGGAGAGGAAGAGAAACTTGTAGGGAGCAAACCATCTCACCTAGAAGAGGCATTTTAAGAGAGATCAGATGCATTGCAAGGAAGAAGCAATTTCTTCTGCTGTCTGGGAAAAGCACACGGCTAGTTTGGTTTCCACCACCCGTGCTACAAGTTAGATCAGAAGTATCCGCCCATCTGCATTAAACTCTATGATTATCAGTTTCTATTAGTAACACTGACGTTCAGTCAGTTATTTAAATGGCAACTATAGCAGTATTGACCTTAAATTTAGGAAAGCATACCCAAATTTTATGGAGTAGTATCTGGAGGCTTTTCCTAATCATAGTTACATTAAAATAGTTCATAGCTTAGTGATTTCTATGTTAGGTTGCATTCTGTGCTTGGATGTCATCTTACTCATTTCCATTTAGTGACAATAAACAATTGAATTCTTTATTGGTGGTTCTTACCGTTTCCTTCCTTTTAACATGGACAGAGTTTTCCAGTTTCACATATCATATCTGCATGCAAGTTGAGGACCGCATTAACAGCAAGAAACCCTGCATGTAGAGTTTTATGTACTGCGTTTTCTTTATAGTGTCTGAACTGTGTGCATTACCTCTGAGACAACAGGCAGCTAGTGATTACATTTAAAAAGCTGTTACTGGTTGCAGTATCTTGAAAGACTGCATGTAGTGTACAGGTGTTCTTGTTCAAATGGTGGCAGTCACGGCTTTGACAAAGCATAGCAGTTACTAAGCTGTGTTCTTCCTGACGCTACCTTTTAGTGTAATTACAAGATTAAAAGCCATACCGCTTTTTAAATAGTGACTCCTTAAGCACAGTTTCAACTACTTTGAATGTTGTAAGCCTTAGAAAGAAAGTCTCGCACAGTTGTTTAATAATGGGTATATTTTCTTAAAAGTTTTTGTTTGCTTGGTTGTGACTGCCATAAAGTATTTGATTAAGGAAATAAGGTTAATGATTAATTTTCAGTCGTATTTCATACTTTCTAATTAAAATCTCTTTTTTCTGTGGCTAATACGAAATACAGGCATCTTTAATACTCACTTCTGTCCACCTGTTATACCTTCCAGTTCCAACAAACAAGGCCCTGATAACATTTTTATCCCCTCAGCAGTGTCTGACGATGAACCTTGTCACTTTCCCCATCATTAGTTATCAAAGGAACCATCTTTTCAAGGCTTACAGAGGGTAGTGCAGCAGTGCCTAGATAGTGAGCCTTGGAGGGCTTCTGTAACCCAGGGGACTTGGTCGTGTCCTTCAGGATTTGTGAGTTGAAACAGCTTGATTTTTAAGGGGGCCTCTTATTATAAGAGCTAATGTTTTTGAAAATTTTAGACACAAAATTCCTTGGCTCACTTATTCCTAACTCCAAAATTTGCAGACCTTCGGTATTTGTTTTGGTTCTTGACAAAACAAAAGTCCTGTTTGAGTTTTCTGTAGGCATCTCCTGCCCTTTGGCGGGGTTCAGCTGTCACCCGCTGTCATCTCCTCTGTTACAAGTCTGTTGCTCTTCAGCCTTCTGCACATAAGAACATAAAACTCCACGAGTTCGTGCTCCAGCCATACTGCGGCTGCGCATTCAACACACATGCAGCACAGACACTGGCAGAATTGTTAAGTCACGAAGAAGGTAGAAATGCCTTGGAGATTTCTAGTGAGCAGTGGTTAACGTATGTGCCTCCTCAGCATTGTCATCCTGGAGGACTGGCTGTCAGTTTTCCAGTCGGGAGACTCCTACTCTGAGCTTGTTTCCCAGCAATAGATAACCATGTTCCCTACATGTCTTGGGACAGGATTATGCGTTATGCACTGTTGACTGCGGTTGACTGCTATTTAAAATTTTGTTTGTGTCCTCTATCAGTTGCAATTTACTGATTTGTCTACTTTAGAAAATGTTTTAACAAAGCCTTTACGCACGTAACATCTGATCAGTGCTCCAGCAAGGCTTACAGATAGCCAGTTCTTTCTATGGAGGGTGTTCTTGAGATGACAAACACTACTCTGCTTCTTGGTCTTACTTCCATGCCTCAACAGGCTCTGTGTGTGCCATTTCAGGTGGGCTTTGGGTGCAGGATGTTCCGCTTCCAACACAAAATCACTGCGTTCATGTGTAGAACAGTGACCGGGCATAGAACAAAACAAGAGCACAAGATAGTGTTTCTAGACATGCCTCATCACTTTGAATCATCTTTTGTCTTAGAGCTGGGGAAAGAAGAAGAAAAAGTGTTTGATCCAAATTCTTTGGATGCCGATCGCTGCGAGAGCTGTTACGGGGCAGAGTCAGAGGACATTCGGTAACCTTTACACCTTTTTCGTATCTTTGTAGCACTTGGATTAATACAGTTGTGTTGCATGCACATTTTTTCCCAAAATGTCTATGAAGGTCTGAGCAATGCAATCCTCCTGGGCCTGTGTTCAGAGAATGATGAGAACTGTTGTGGTTTTGGTATGTCTTTGGAAGCTGCACTCACGATTATTAAGAACGTGCAGTTAGGTTGTCTAGTTTGTGTACATGCCTGTTTAAGGGCAGTGCAAATTGCACTACCTTTGCAGTACCACAAAGGTTGTATCTTGGCAAACGGTATCTTTTCCGGGATTATTTGGTGTCCAGAGGGGAGCTGCGTAAATTATTTCACTGTTGCGTGAGCTGTCTTGGAATAAAACCTGGCTATGGCCTTGCCTTCTCACTTCTGCTGCAGGCTTTGCATCCTTACAGGAGCAAAGACCAGACATCTATCGCTCACACAAACAACAGGTGTCATTTGGTGTTTCTCTTTCCTCCTACCTGCAAGTTCTTGTAAGAATGGATCCGTGGTAGTGCATGGGTTCTGGACTACCCTTTGCTATTATTGTCTCTGTAGTAACTTGGTTTGTCCCATCTGTCAAGCCGCATCCTTCCCCAGAGCTGTTTCCATCTTGAGGGATTCATGATTCCAGCCTTCAGCTTTTTCTTTGGTCCGGCAAAACGTGGAACCAAGAAAGAAAACTGTTGTTTCTGGTGACCAAGATGTTACCCAGAGGTCAAAAAGTAGTGAAGAAAGTTTGCCATTAAGCCTCCCTCCAGTGTTGACAGTCTTGCCCTTCAGGGAAGAGGAAAGGAGGAATAGAAACAGCCAGATGCTTTGTTCACACAGGGAAGTTCCAAACTGCTCAGAACTGTGGGACACTGATGTCATTTTTGTAGCAAATTTCTTTGCCAAGGAGTGATTTGGCTGTTTAAATGGACAGGCAAAGCTGTCTTTAGACTCAAGCTCTGCATTAAATCAGCTTTCATCCTCATGCCAAAATCTCAAAAAGTACATCAAGAAGCTCAAGCTGCTCCAGGAGCATTAAGCCTCCTTTCAAAGTCCAGTCCCTGATGTTTGCTTTATTGCTTTGTGGAAGAAAACTCCACCAAGGATTCAAGTCCTGAGCTGGAGCATCTCTTTATAGCGATAAAGATGGTAAGATGGTGCTTGTGCTTTTGCAGGTGTTGCAACACTTGTGACGATGTCAGAGAAGCATACAGGCGGCGAGGCTGGGCCTTCAAGAACCCGGATACCATAGAGCAGTGCAAGAGGGAAGGGTTTAGCCAGAAAATGCAAGAGCAGAAGAACGAGGGCTGCCAAGTGTATGGTTTCCTGGAGGTCAACAAGGTGAGAGATGTGCTTTGCTGTGAACCTGCTGCCTGATGGTGATGACTGTGAAAAGGCAGAATCGGGGCGTTCCTCTCCTTTTCCAGCTTTAGGTGTTCACAGGACTGTCATATAATAACTCCTGGGCTCAGCAAGGTGCTTGTGCCCGTAAAGGGGTTCAGTAGGAGAGTCGGGAAAAGCATTGGGAAGGGGCTAATTCTCTGTTTCGTTGTGTGGGCTGGTAGGAAGCATGCCGGCTGGAGAAGCTTAGCTTTTCCTACTGTCTAGCTAGTGAGTGGTGCTGGAGAGAGTGACACGTTAACTTCTTTAGAAAAACAGTGGAAGTAAGACTATTGGAGTTGGTTGTCAAAGCCAAAAATGCTCAGAGAGTTGGGTTTTGCAGCTGGTGTATGAAAACGTAGTACGAGATATACCAGATAACTATGTAACTACCCTGTCATTTGGGGGGTTACCAAAACCCAGAACACTTGGATGTGCAGGTTACGTACCCAAGTACATTCTAGAAGTCAGGCCCAGGCTAATATTTTTTTTTAATTCAAAATCTGTTTTTTGTGGGTTGTTGGTTTTTTTTTTTTACATCTTTGTGTACATTCTCTGGAGACCACATTCTTTATTTCTGGAAAGTAAACCTTTTATTCACGAAGCCAGACATTGTGATTTGAGCATCATTGTGGGTACCGAACCATTGCAGGACCCTCTATCACAAAATGTGATGAGCAGGAAAGATTCAAAGGGGACTGCTGGAGGTAGCAAGCGTCCAGGGGTGGGTGTCACTGGGGAAATTTCTGAGATCCATTGTTATGCGCTTGGTATTTTGCACGTCTCCGTTCTCATCAGGTCTGCAGTTAACATAAGCGATAGGTTTGCACAGACATCAAAGGTGTAACATACCATGTGAGCTTGGGATATTCAGATCTTCCAGGGGAGAGTGTCTATGATTGCTGGTAAGTGTCAGGGAGGATTGGCACCTGATATCCATATCCCTTTCAGATTCCAGGATGAAATTTTAACCACCTTTGACTTTTGGGGGGGTTTGGGATTTGTTGTTGGCGTTGGTTTTGGTTTGGTTTCGTTTTTTGTAGGTTTAGTGCTTTATTTTTGCATGCAGCTTATTTTCATGGATGTATACATAGGATCACTGTTGTTTCTTCTGTTAAGTTTTTTTTTACCCTGCTCACTCTCCCTCTCAGTTACTTTCTCCACTCCTTTTCTGTGATAACTTTTTGTATTTCCTGCAGCAGCAGTCAGTTCCCTCCCGATAGACTTAATTCCTTCTTCCCATTTTTATGTCCACTAAAATAATCTGCATAGAACACTTATTATCAACATCAGTATGTAATTATGGCTTTCCACATAACTGCCTGTGAAGAAGAGGGGAAGTTCGTCTCTCTTTTAGGACAATATCTGCTGATACTGTCACCCATGAAAATGAGTTGCTTGGTGTATACCTTGTTGAAACAAAAATTTAAAAATCCAAGCACCAGTACAACTGCTTTATTTATATAGATTCAGACCTTTTAATGAAAGATTTACTATCTCCTGCAGGTAGCTGGAAATTTCCACTTTGCACCAGGAAAAAGTTTCCAACAGTCTCATGTCCATGGTAAAGTATTTTCTTTTCCTGCTTATTGTGACCTTTAGCTTCCAAGTGCATCTGACCATTTTCTTTAATTATCTTTGCGTTGCTATCCATAATAACAGCAGGACTGCTTCAGTGGGGAGCACATTGTTGAAGTTTTGTTACAGAGGTTTAGAACCATCATGAACAAATAGAAAAGTGTTTTCTGGAGGTGCTGCCATGTGGGTGTGGAAGAACTTGGAGGAGAATGTTACTGGGTAGTCTCTCACTCTCACTTTTTCCACAGAACTTTGCTGCTCTGCTGTAAAACAACCTCAAGTAAGGTGTTCAGGCCAGGACCTGAATATCAGTATCTCTGGAAGGGATATTTTGGAGAATTATGTCAGGAGAATTTTAAAGCAATTCAGAACTTTTAGAGTAAAATTTAAGTTGTAAAGGACTTCCTCAAGTATACATATAAATACACAGTGGCCAGAATAATAGTAGTAGTTTATAGAATCATAGAATGGTTTGGGTTGGAAGGGCCCCTTAAAGGTCATCTAGTCCCCCCTGTAATGAGCAGGGACATCGTCAACTAGATCAGGTTGCTCAGAGCCCTGTCCAACCTGACCTTGAATGTTTCCAAGGATGGAGCATCTACCACCCCTCTGGGAAACCTGTTTGAGTGTTTCACCACCCTGATCGTAAAAAATTCTTCTTTATATCTAGTCTGAATCTACCCTTTTTTAGTTTAAAACCATCAGCCCTTTTCCTGTCGCTACAGGCCCTATTAAAAAAGTCTGTCCCCATCTTTCTTATAAGCCCCCTTTAAGTGTTGAAAGGCCACAATAAGGTCTCCCTGGAGCCTTGCCTTCTCCAGACTAAACCACCCCAACTCTCTCAGCTTTTCCTCCTAGGAGACGTGTTCTATCCCTCTGATCATTTTCATGGCCCTCCTCTGGACCCGCTCCAACAGGTCCATGTCTGTCTTGTACTGAGGACTCCAGAGCTGGATGCAGTACTCCAGGTGGGGTCTCACCAGAGCAGAGTAGAGGGGCAGAATTGCCTCCCACAATCTGCTGGCCATGCTTCTTTTGATGCAGCCCAGGATACGGTTGGCTTCCTGGGCTGCAAGCGCACATTGCCAGCTCATGTCCAGCTTTTCACCCACCAGTACCCCCAAGTCCTTCTCCGCAGGGCTGCTCTCAATCCCTTCATCCCCTAGCCTGTATAGATACCAGGGGCTGCCCCAACTCAGGTGCAGGACTGCTTGCACCTGGCCCTGTGGAATCTCATGAGGTTCACATGGGCCCACTTCTCGAGCTTGTCCACATCCCTCTGGAGGGCATCCCATCCCTCAGGCATGTCAACCACACCACTCAGCTTGGTGTCATCTGCAGACTTGCTGAGGGTACACTGAATCCCACTGTCATTCATGTCATTGATGAAGATATTAAACAGTACTGGTTCCAGTATGGACCCCTGAGGGACACCACTCATCACTGATCTCCTTCCGGACATTGAGCCATTGACCACTACTCTCTGGATGCAACCATCAAGCCAATTCCTTATCCACCCAACAGTCCACCCATCAAATCCATATCTCTCTAAATTAGGATGTTGTGGGAGACCATGTCAAAGGCCTTACAGAAGTCCAGATAGATGACATCAGTAGCTCTTCCCTTGTCCACTGATGTAGTCACTCCATCATAGAAGGCCACTAGGCTGGTCAGGCAAGACTTGCCCTTGGTGAAGCCATGCTGGCTGTCTCAAATCGCCTCCTTGTCCTCCATGTGCCTTAACATAGCTTCTAGGAGGATCTGTTCCATGATCTTCCCAGGCACAGTGGTAAGGCGACTACATCAGCCAATTCCCTCAGGACTCTGGGATGCATCTTGTCGGGTTCCGTAGACTTCTGTATGTTCAGGTTCCTCAAGTGGTCTCGAACCTGACCTCTTACAGTGGGAGGGACTTTGCTCCCCCAGTCCCTGCCTTATATCTTTAACGGGAACTTGACTAAAAATATTTGTGGTTTAATGGAATGTTTGCAGTTCCCTTGATCGAGTTTTTGAAACGTGAAATTTGTAGTAAAGGTTTCACAAAGAGCTTTAATTTCATCCTGATTTTTCCCCTTCCTGTCACTCACTCCAGTTTAACCTGTACCACTGAGGTAAAGGTCAGGGGAGAATGTGAATGTGCTTTGTGAGAGTAACTGGTGTATTTGGAGAAAAACAAGCAAGCTTTTGAGCACAGTTTCTACAGATGATGAAGCACTTTGGGGTGGGAAGCCTGGTTTTCCCCACAATATTAGTTGTTGTTAATAATAACATACTTCACTTCCTGCAGAACTTGCTTTGTGTGCTTAAACTAGCATAACAACAGCAACCTCGCTACAGCCGGTATTTACAACTTCACAGCATGTATCTAAGTTAACAAAAGCATCTCTGCATTGCATCTATTCTCTGTAATAGGCATGAATGCAAACTAGCTGTCCTGAGAGCAAGTACTTTGTGTACATAGAGGAGGGGGTGAGGTCAGGATAGCTCTCTAATTGCATATGCCCCAGCAGTCTTGCATAACTTAATTGAAAACTCAGTGGGAGAATACTGGTGAAAACCAGAAAGGACTATGTAGTTGCTGCAAACCTTTTGGAGGCACAGTTAGGAGTATTGGTGTTTTGAGGACAATGAAAAGGAGTAGGAGGAGGGATGATGGGCAGACAAACTTTCTGCTTTCTGGGAATTCTGCACATTAAATAATGAGGAAAAAAGGCCCCTAATACTTTTCTCCATGTGCACCTGTTTTCAGCTCTCGGGATCTCCTGAGTCTGTTACGGTCTATTGAGATTCCTCAGTGGCTCTCTTTCAGGTACTTTTCCCATCTCATCATGAACCCGTGTAAACGTTTTCCATTGCTTTCAGCAGCACTGCTCTGCTGTAAGAAAAAGCACCTCCCCTCATTTGCTTGCTCCCACTAGCTGTATCTGATGGCCCTTGTTCCTCTGTTGGAAAAGACTGAACTGTCACTGCCTGCTCTCTACCTGCCTCTCAGGATGATGTAGACCTTTCCTGTGTGCCAGCCTACAGGCCATGTCTTTCCCTCGTGGAAGAGTCCCAGCTTACTCAGATGGTCCTTTGTGGAAGCCATTCAACCTCTGAGCTTCCTTGCTGGATTTCTCTTGAACCTCTTTCAGTTCAGCTCTGTCTGGCAGTACCAGACTGCACCCAGGGTTAAAGTCCAGGCTAAGCCTGATGCAGGCAGTGGTGTAATGATTTTTTTCCTTTTGTTCTCCCTTGCTTTCCTAGTTATTCATAACACATGATTTGCCTTTTTTCCCAACCTTTTCCTGGGCAGTGTTTTCATGGCACCAACCAACAATCAAGGAGTTCTCCCTGACCCCGAGGGAAATGGACAGCTCAGAGCCTGGTCTTTTTCTTGTACATGAAGCTGAGATTGTTTTCTGCCTCAGTATAACCTTTCTTCATAATCCTTTTTTGTTTTCTTTGGTGTTTTTTTTTTGTTTTTGTTTTTTTTTTAAAGGTTACAGAAAGAAGGAAGGGGTTTTTTCCTATTTAATTACAGATAAAGAACTTAACTAGTCTTAGTCAGAGCACAGAGCTCCGTGAGATATTTCCAGAGCTCCCCTGGAAATATCTCATTTGGATTGTAATTCCACACAAGAACTTAGAAGCGTGTGATTTTTTGATCCTTTTAAGAAGGTCTACATTAATGCTCAGTCCTATTAATACACTTAACAGAATGTCACACAGGATGAAGATGAATGTCTAAGAGAAGTCTGAATATTCCAAACTGTTATCGTCAAAAAACCCATTAAGAATCCAACCAAAATAATAATTTTACTAGACCTATTTGATACAAAACTGTGATGACTGACAGTATTTTTGCTCCTGCCTTCTATTCCCTACCTGTTTGAATCAGTAGAGAATAAGGGGGTGAACAAGAATGTCAGTACTATGGAAAGTTCATTCTGTTGCACCACTCTCCTTGCCTCACGTTGGAGTAGCTATACCACGTTTGTATAGCTGATGGTTAGACCTGAGTCCATACTTTTATTTTTTGGTGCTATTCAAATACTGAAGCTAGCACACCAGCTTTTGCTTCTTGCGCTGTTACTCTCCCCTTCTCCTGAGGGTTACTGTTTTTTAATAGCTCTCCAGCTAGGGAAACTGCAGAGGTGTCTTTGTGATGGTGCAGAGGGTCCTATTGAGAAGCACTTTGCAAATCTGACTGTAAATGTAATTCTGTTCTGAGCTTCTGAACTTTTGTCGTGTGCTTGGTGTTAACATCTTCAAAATTGTAACTTCTCTTCTGGGTAGAAGCAAGTTGAAATTGCTTTTTTCAGAAAGTAGAATAAGAAGTAAGAGGAGACACGGTGCTAACACATATGCAATCCAGAACCAACAATGAATAAGGTGCAATTTTATTTCTCTTTAGTTATGTTAGCTTTAATTGTGTGTAGTTCAATCTTTAGGTCTTTTTATTTTGTTTGAGTAGCTGCCCTAGGATAGATGTGACCCAGAAGAAGTCTTATTTTTCAGGGATTATTCATTTCTTGTTTGGGCTTCCTTTTCCATACACAGTTCTCTCTCCTTGCCTGTGTTTTTGTTCTCGCATACTCATATTTTGTCCCCAGAAATAATTTGCCTGAAATAATACTCTACAGATTCTAAAACTCAACATAAGGTGAGGTTTGATAGCACCAGCTGAATGTGCAAGGAATATAGGTAAAAGGCAGGGAGTGGCCTTGCCCAGAAGAGTTCATCCTGTTTCTCTTATCCATGAACCTTGATTCTTTGGTTTGGCAGAAGTCTTTCCATTAAGACAGAGATCAGAGGTCCTTGTTTACATTAGGAAAAACGATTGAAATTACATTCAAGTTTGCTGACATTAGCTAATCACGGCAGCCTAAATTCAGTTACTTTCCTAATCAAGAGAATGCTAACGAGTAGCCACCAAAATTGAATTATCAGCAATTGCTCTCTAATTTTTTTTCATTTTTAAATACTGTATAAGTGGGTAAGCCTCATGAAAGCCACCCTTCTTGAGCTTACTGAATATCAGGTTTTATTAGTTACAATCACATTTGGCGATTCTGAGTTATTTATTGGCTATATGGTATGTACATGTGTTTTAATGCAGACATGTATAATGACTAACAGGAATCAAAGTTTTGAAGTAGGTAGCCTATGAATCTCATGCTCTTAAGGAGATGCAAGTGTGTTATCTCATCGTAGGGTAAAATCTGCTGAAATAGATTAGAATCATAGAATCGTTAAAGTTGGAAAAGACCTTTAAGATCATCAAGTCCAATCATTAACCAAGTCCACCACGAAACCATGTCCCTAAGCACCACATCTACCCGTCTTTTAAATACCTCCAGGGATGGTGACTCAACCACTTCCCTGGGCAGCCTGTTCCAGTGCCTGACTACTCTTTCAGTGAAGAAGTTTTTCCTAATATCCAACCTAAAGCTGCCCTGGTGCAACTTGAGGCCATTTCCTCTTGTCCTATCACTTATTACTGGGGAGAAGAAACCAACCCCCACCTCACTATGACCTCCTTTCAAAGTAGTTGTAGAGAGTGATAGGGTCTCTCCTCAGCCTCCTCTTCTCCAAACTAAACAACCCCAGCTCCCTCAGCCACTCCTCATATGACCTGTTCTCTAGACCCTTCACCAGCTTCGTTGCCCTTCTTTGGATGCGCTCTAGCACCTCAATGTCCTTCCTGTAGTGAGGGGCCCAAAACTGCACACAGTATTCAAGGTGCAGCCTCAGCAGTGCCAAGTACAGGGGCACTACCACCTCCCTAGTCCTGCTGGCCACACTATTCCTGATACAAGCCAGGATGCCGTTGGCCCCCTTGGCCATCTGAGCACACTGCTGGCTCATGTTCAGCCGGCTGTCAACCAACACCCCCAGGTCCTTTTCCGTTGGGCATCTCTCCAGCCACTCTTCTCCAAGCCTATAGCGTTGTATGGGGTTGTTGTGACCCAAGTGCAGGACCCGGCACTTAGCCTTGGTGAATCAAACCATATTTTGCTTGTGTTTGGCATTCTAAATGTCCTGGGAGTTTTTCATAAAAAATGAAGCCCCTAACATCTCAGACTTTGTCAGCAAAATGCATTAGCCAAATCTTATGTGACCCCAGGCTTATTTCTTAAATATCCTGATACTATGGTAATCTTTATGCCCCAAGGACCTCTGATGGTCTCCTGAAAATCTTTTTTTTTGCAAAGTAAGTGTTTGATGTTTCGCTTGTTTTAACACAAGTTCTCCTTCCTGTTTTTCTGCAATATTCATGTGTCTGAAGGAACCAGAAACACTGGAAATGCTGAAAAACTAAAACTATGTTAAAAAAAAAAAAATTGTCCATTTGTAAGAAAAAAGTCATTTTGTCCTTTTTGTTTTGTTTTTTTTCTGCCTGCATGATTGTTAACTCCAGGTGAGATGATTTCCCTTCCCTTATTGTTGTTTGCGTGGATGTTTCTCTATGCTTGTATGTAACCTTTGTTCTCATGTTCTTTTGGTGTTGGTTCCCTATTTATACATATGTACCCAACCTAGGTGAAAAATGTTCTGCACAGTCATTAAATACAACTTTGCATTCCTTTTGGTTTCTCATAATTCCCAGGCCCTGAAGGGAATGTAATTTGGAAATTGAGGGGGGGTGTTTTTCTGTCTTCAGATGACTGAAGAGAAAGGTCTGGCTCTGCTGGGTTAATGCAATTTTTATCCATCCATATTCGCATTTCCAGTATACCTAACTGGAAGCCTCAAGAACTGATAAAGTTTGAGCCCTATTGTATCTATAAAGGACACACTTCTGCTGTGCTTTCCCTCTTGGCTGGTTCATGAAGCAAGGAGATGCTGTTCTTCTCAGCTGACCGGTGGAGGCTGTGCGCTTTATTACTAGAGGTATTTGTGCAGCATAGACTTTGTTCGTATTTTATCTTAGGTTTCATCATTACTGGATATTTTAGTGTGTGTTGCTATTCCTTCCTCATCTCAGGTCATCAAAATTGTTCTCTCTAGGAGAATTCACGCGGCTGATCTTACGCCTTTGTGCCATCTATAATAGTTAATTACCTTTTAGCTAGCGCATAAACATACTGCTTGTACTTCTTGAACAGGTGCTCTGTGTGTCTGTCCTTCGCATGCTGTGTTCCCGGAGAATCCCAGCCGAAGCTTTGGGAATTTGCTTTTGAAGCACTCACTTGTGCCTCTCTAAAGACAGCCTCCAGCACCAGCTGTGCCTGTTTGTGATTCTGGATATCATAGCTGTTTTCTTTGCAGCAGTTCACACCTTCTCTCTTTCCTTCCTGTCTCAGAGTAAAGAGGAATGATTGCATGATCTAGCTTTTTAACCTCCTGAGGTTTGTGGTTCAGGCGCTGCTGCCATTTCTGGCCATGCCTGTACAGTAGCAGCCATCTCCTGCTTTGGCTGCAGTGGTTGGCAGCGAGTTTGCAGCGTGCGGGAGAGTCCTTAGTGATAGCTTCCTCAGGAGAGAGATGATCATCATATCACTTCCTTCTTCCTTGCCATGTTTCTTCTAGTCAAGGGGAAGCTGAGGCTTCTCATTCATCCTTTAGGTTATCTTTGGACCATTCTGTTGCTGAGGTGCCATCATCACTACTTGTTAGGGAGGACATTGCCCATCGTGCTTTGTTGACAGCCAGAGAGCTTTTCAGGATTCCTTAAAATGTATCATTAGATTCCTTCAGTTGCCTAGAAAAGAAGCTGGTGCTGATGACAACATTCAGGACATTCTCTGTCCTAAAGACACACTCTCAATGACCGTTATGATTTCTGTGGGTGAAGCAGTTCTGTACGTGCTCCAGGTTTTGTGGTTTTCTTACACTCTACATGGTCAACTGAAGGATCAAAGTTATCACTGAAGGCACTGGTTTTGTGATTACCGTTTGTTTTCCTCCTCATTTGTGGTGGTGATTGTGGAAGGAAAAAACCCAAGTAAGCTGCTCTTTGAGACGATGATGGTTTTAGAAAAGGAGCTGCCTACTCAGAGCCACCAGGCTTTGCCTAGAAATGTGCGAAGCTTTGTTAGCTCTCTAAGAGTACAAATTCACTGGTCAATGTACATCTTCATTAATGTTCTGCCTATGTACTTAAGGGAGGGTTTATTCCCTTCTCTACTAGAGATTTGTTTGACAGCCAGAGCCTATTTGAAGGCATCCTCGGACACGACAGATGACCCCTAATAGCCTCTCTTATTTTGCATACTTTTTAATGTTTGGAATGCTGAATTGCAAAAGGATGTACGGTCTTTGACTGAAGGCTGGTTGTCATTTTTTATGTCCCTTGGCGTCTCCTTATTGGCAACCAAGAGCAAGTGACACTAATTCTTTTTTCTGCAGAGACTGCAGCCTCTTTCTCTGTTCCTTTCCTGGAGCCCTACTAGTTGTGTGGCTGTTACTATTGCACAGGCCTTCTACAGACATCAGTTCCTCATCTGAGCTCTTCTCCTGCCCATCAGCATTCTTGAAAGAAAAACAATGTGGGACTCAATCTCCATCAGTTCAGGACACCATTTCAGTGTGGAGGCGATCCAAATCTTCTGGCTGATCACCTGTACAGTATTCCTTCCATAGAGGGTGTTTGTGTGAGCTCATTCTAACTTCTGTCCCAAAGTAGCGTCTGCCAGGGGATTAACTGTTTTCATCCCCAAACTGAATACTGGAGGCTGAGATTCTTATTTCATCCTCAGCATTGCTAAGGACTTTTCTTTTTACACTGGTAAACTCCTTGCAGAGTTTGGTTGTCGTGGTGCTGAAAGACGCAAGGTCTCCCCCGTTGCTCCTTTGGGAGGAGCTGTTGATCTAGGCTGGGATTTGAGAAGATTTCCTGAAAGCTAAAAGGAGAGCCATCCTAGGTCATTCTTCTGGCATTGCGTAAAGTCATTTAAGTAGCCAACCAAAAGATATCTATCCGTTGCCTCCCATTGCCCGTATCTTTGGCAGATCCCTTCTGGGGGTGCTTGGTGCTGCCGGCATCGTCATACTGCTGTATGCAGGAAGGACAGAGAGAGGGCAGGCCAAATTCCCCAAATCCTAGCACTAGTGACAGTCAACCTTGGCCTCACCAGTGGTTTGCAAATACCCTGCTCAGGCCGTCCCTGCAAAGACTTTTCCTTTCCCTGTGCATTCTCTGGGCAGCAGTAAGAAGGCTGATAGGCAGAGCGCTGAGAGTTGCTGAGATGATGATGATTTCTTTCAGGCTCTTGCCTGCGATATTAAGGCATGTGCTCTGCTCAGTTGTTAGTTTAGATCTGCTGTGCCTCTGTGTTTTACAGCAGTTAGAGGAGTTATGTGTATCAGGTGGTGACTGAGCTAATAGTGAGGTTTTCCTTGCTTGCCCCTGGGATCTTGGTTTTGCCCTAGGTTAAGAGGACTGAAATACCAGTCTGAACTAACCCCAAATTAAAGTTACTTTCGTTCACTCTAGCAGTGGCTAGTCTATGTCAAGAGGGGAATTGCAGTAGTTTTGTCTAACACATGCCCTACTGCAAGCAAGAGAGAAACACAGGCGATTTTCTTGCCATTTTAGATCGTGATGGAAATGAGAGGAGCTCCCTTACCAGCTAGAATAAGGTGAATGCTTGTTATCACAGTCTGAACTATATTGTTAAACTGTTTTTTCTGTTACAGTTCACGATCTGCAGAGCTTTGGACTCGATAATGTAAGTGTTCCCAAGATAATATTCTAGTTGTCTTGGTCTATTTTCCTTCTGGATTTCCCTCCTTTTGCCACACTGAGATCCTAGTGTACTGATCCCGGCCAGACTTGGCTTTATGAGTCTTAGCAGAACCTGGGACCTGCTTTCACACAGGGCTCTGAAGTATGTTCTGGGGCATCTGCATGTTGCTTGGCAAGCCTGTTCCCCTCTTCCAGAGATGGCCTTGCTCCTTAAGCTGTGCTTCACAGTTTTCTAAGGTTGTCATTTTCACAACTGTTTCTGGATCTGTTGGAGTTTACCTTGTGCTGGGAGGAAAGCAGATGATACCCATACCTATGCCACCGAGGCAGCTGACAGGATGATGCTCCTATGGCAGGGAGAGAAGTGGGTGGGAGAGCCTGCTCTGTTGATGGGAGAGAAGGGCACCGGGATCTGGGGATTTCCAGCAGGAAAAGAAGTTCCACATCTTGGAATCTCCCATGAATAAAAAAGAAGAGCAAGTGCTTTGGAGTTTACTGTTAGGATGCGCAGTGTAAGGGAGGACACTTCAGAGCCACGCTCAGAAGAATATACAAATAATTAACTTTAGGCCCCTTACCTTGCCCTTCGGATGCTGTGCAGTTGTTTGAGTTATTAGCATTTCCGTTTCAGATCAATATGACGCACTATATCAAACATCTCTCCTTTGGGAGGGATTATCCAGGCATTGTGAACCCTCTGGATGGGACGGACGTCACTGCACAGCAAGGTAAAAGCCAGCTGAGAGAAATCTCTTTTTAAGTGTCTGTATTAATAAGTGTTAGAAGAGAACAAGAGCAGAGTTCCCAGTCTTTAACAAGAACCCTGACAGCATTGCGTCAAACGCAGACTCCTCCACCTTGTGCTCTTTCTGGAACAGCTGCCTCCATTCATCTGGAACAAATCTGCCAACATGTTTTGATTCTGTGACCTTTTTGAAAGATCTCTCTTTTCAGTGTTCATGGATGCACAACAGCAGGTACAGCATGTCATTATTAAATGCCTACATCAGGTGTAGTTCAGGGAGAGCCCTGTCTAGCTACTGTGTGCAGTAGGAGATAACCAGAAGATGCAGGTTAGAGAGAAAAAGGCCTAATTGATAGTTGCTGGAGAGCCGTGGTGTCTGCCTGACCTTCATCTACCCAACGGTAACAGCTGAACAGCTGCAGTGAAGTTGAAACATTGCCGATCTTTTCTAGGTAGCTCCAGTTTGCTGGCTTGAGAAGGAAAGGCAAGTCTCCCCTCATGCTGCTGCTGCTCAGACTGTAATCTTGGTTTATTCACACAAGCCTGCTTGTGTGCATTTTCCATGAAAGATCCTGACCGTACTGCTTTATATGCTACTGCAGAGATTACTTATTTTTTTTAGATCTGCTGAAGTCTGCAAAGTTTGTCTTTGCAGGTATTTGGGGTCCTGTTACATAATAAAGCTTGGCAAAAGAAGTAGTTTGCTTTGAGGTCTGAATCGATTTTTTTAAATTTTCCACCATCAATTTTAATTCTTGTACCCAAATCAAAGGATGGTGCTTAAAATGAAATACAGAAAAATGAAAAAGTGTCATAATGCTTGATACGATCGTGATGCCGTAGTTTTTCTGTGGAGTAACAAACTCTCTGAGAGGGGGCCTGTAGCTGGCTGGTAAAATTCTCTCTGTAAGCTGAAGCTTTCCATCCTGGGCCTCGGAGAACCAGTTGGCAGATTCTTGAGGAATTAGGACTGAAGACGTGCTCTGGAAAAGAAGTGGGAGAAGTAGGTTGCAGGTCAAATTTATGTTTATTGCAGACCAGCTAAAGATACTATATACGAGAATGACTTCTGCTGTAGAAATGGATGAATAATCTCCTCTAGGGAATTTCATAGAAAATAGGTTTTCAAAGCGACTCCTGCCTTCCATTATCCTTAAGGGAACTGAAGGGAGAGGCTGGTCTGAGGCAGCAGGAGTTCTCCTCCTATTTTTTTCTTCACTGATCCAGATCTTCCTTTCCGTCTCCTGATATGATAAAAATCGTGCTTCTACAGGAATAAACTGTAGTGTTAATTGAAGTTGATATAGGGTACTCATGTAGAGTTGAGTATGTTTTCTTAGGGCTATGCTGTTAAATATAAAGGTTTTCATGTGCTAGAGTAAGAATTTTCAAGAGGTGGTACTGGTAAAACTATAGCAAGATAACTGGTTTGTAGAAAGATTTCCATTTAGTCAAGGCCAAAATGCCGGTAGTTTTGGTTTTGGTTGGAACGGGAACGAGATTTGCTTTGGCAAAAGGAAAATGCATGTCAGACATTAACTTTACTGTCCTTGAAAACCTCCAGTAGCTGTTGTGCAGAAAGATGTTCCCCAACAAGTTGAACAAAACCAATTGGTGTCTACCTAACCTGTCAGTTAAGCTTTCCAGCTCTTTGCCTGTTATTAACTGTGTCTCTCTGTCTCTGCTTATAGCTTCCATGATGTTTCAGTATTTTGTCAAAGTGGTCCCCACGGTGTATATGAAAGTAGATGGTGAAGTAAGTACCTTTTTTCCCCTATTGCTTTGGCAAGTGAAAGCCTTCAGACTTTCTCCTTGCATTCTGATGCTGATCATACCTGACCTGTGGTGGCAGCAACACAATCTGTTTGACTTTCTTCATATAACCACCCCAGCAAGAATAACAATGGTTATGGTGTAATGTTATATGTAATGCTGCAGCAGGGATGAAGCAGACTTCAACCTCCTCCATCCCACCTAGATCAAAGTGACCATGCCATTTTCGTCCTGTTCCCTCATGAATCCCTCCTAGTACATGCTCAGGAGAAGTCAAAGCAGCAAGGAGATCCTAAAAAGGTTCTTTGGAGAATAACCCAAGATCAGCTTGTCTCCAATTTAAAAACTCCTTTAGCCTCCAGAAGAGCGTGGCTAGATCTCCAGCCCTGCTTTCAGAATATGTCCTTCTTTTGGGACAGGTAGGATAAACAAATTACCAAGGAGATACCAGGGTGAGACGAAGATCCTGAGAACAGAGACAAACTTATGCTCTCTCCTGAAGCCAGCCTGAGGGAGCAGAAAGAACTGTGATTTCTTTCATTCATTTGGAAGTGTTTATTTTGGTTGCTGTCATTCTGCAGGGGATCTCAAGAGCTACGGAGAACCACTTTTTAAAAAACAAACCGAACCAAACCTGTCAGTTATCATTATTTGGGCCCCCATAGTCTTAGGGCAGCAGGAAGATGTAAGCTGTTATGGTTTTTTTGCAACAAAAACACCAGTAGAGGCAGCGGCTCTACTGCTGTGCAGACTTCACCACCAGTGCTACCCAGTGTACTTACCTAACCCTGTGAGGAAGAGACAGGTGCCACATGGCCCAGTACCTCTGTGAACATTCACGTACAAGATGGCTTAGCTCCCTAGCTGTCTCCGAGGTTTTGGTTCTATATCTTCTACACTGCGTGGGTGGTCCATGCCCAGCTTCACTTTACCACCAAACCAGTTTCCTCTGAGGTGAAACCCAAGTGTGGTTCTGGGCCTCGTTCAGTGCAAGGACTGATCTACCTGTGGGTGAAACTACGCCAGAATTTGACTCCCTTGTCCTACGCAGTTTTATAATGCCGTGCAAACCCTGCAACACTGGGAACCCTTACCACCTCAGGCTCTTCACCCAAACTCATGCCACTCTTGGGCATGTACCACATATCCTTTCAATCAGAACAACATAGAATTGCTTTTTATTAGTCACCAGGAGAGGAATTCATGCAGACCATGATGCTTATACTTATGGTAACTATGGATCCAAGTGTGCTGCCAGATGTGTACCAGGGGCCATGTTATACATTCAGTACTTGGAACCCCCAAATGTGGAATTTGGTAAAGAAACTGGGTAGTGTCTTTCTCAGCTTGGATCGTAATTTGTGTCAGATAGCTTCTTAGGGATGATAGAACATAATTTCATTTTACAGAAACCCAATTTATTTGCTCTAAGAATAGGACTGGTACGCACAATGTATAGAAGAATGCTGCAGGGTGATCTTCATTTATATAAAGATGGGCAATCTGTGTCCCTCTGCAGCCCTGGCGCTCTCCTGCCTTTATGTATTATTTCCTTTTTTCTCTACTCTTTAATATATATGGCTTTCTGACATTGGTGCTGTCCCCTGAAGCATGCTTAGGTGGACTACATTTTGGTAGAGGATGATGTGGACTTGGGGTTGAGATCGAGAGGCACAACTTATGCCATTACTTGCCAGCAGAGACCAAAACAGTCCAGCCTCTGGGGACTGATGCATCACTTATTCTTTGGGCTAGCTGGGGCTTTAACTGCTGGCCTGTAGCAAAAATAGACCTGATCCTGATGGTGTTCTTTGTGACCGTTTGTAACGCCTGTCAGGCCCCCCACAAGTGAGTGGGCAGGGCAACATTGATATGCTTCGCTGAACTTGTGTTTTAGTAGCCTTTCCTATTCCTTTTTAACAAAACAACGTTTGCTGTGTTTGTTTCCTGCTAGGTGGTAAGGACTAACCAGTTTTCAGTTACACGACATGAGAAGATAGCCAATGGGCTACTAGGAGACCAGGGTCTGCCTGGTGTATTTGTGCTATATGAACTTTCGCCCATGATGGTGAAGCTGACAGAGAAACACAGGTAAGAGACATTTCAATCTATTTCATTCACCCCCCACTGCTGATGTCATTTTGCATAGCTTAAAACTCCTTCCTCGCTTAGAAACAACAGTGCAAACACCTGAAAGCCATCCAAGCACCTTCTCAGTCAGCGGAGAGGAAGAAGCACTCCCAGATGCCCCTGCTCTCAGTGTGAACATCTGAAAGGGACTGGGGTTTTTCTGATACTACCGGCAGCGTTTTAATCCGGTATCAAGATGGAGAAGGAAATTGGTGGAGTGAGCAGAAGTCTGATATAATGGTTCTCAGTTCAGACTAATTTCCTCGAAGTCTTTTTTAATGGGAAGACTAGATTTATGTAGGATACCCATCTTAGCAGTACCTACAGCAGCACCCACGCTGATCCAACCTGGTTACTTACTCTGCATTTGCTATAGCCTTTCTGCATGTTGTAGTCAGTGCAGAACCTGTTTCTTCTTTCCGGGTCCTCCGTTAATCACAGGCATGTAATTGCAGGGGAATGGAAGAGGTGGTAGCTGCCCAATCTTTTAGGATCATAATGAGGGACAGCCAATATCTATACCTTAAAATGTATTGACATGTGCTTGGGGATTTAGTTTTTGTGTTACAGCAGCCTGCTGTGCATTCTGTCTGGGTGGGAATGGATAAAATGTTAGGGATTAAAAGTCCATCCTTTAGGTTTATAAATTCAGTACTTGCCTCCTAGGGTTTCCATTGTGCTCATTAAAGCACGCTGCTCTAATGCTACTCAGTGCTGCTCAGTAACAGTATCAGCGACAAACTTCATTCTGTAGCTAATAGGTGTTATTTAATTGTTACATCTGTTAATTGTCAGCATTAGTATTTATATAATGCATACTTATGTGCTATGATGAACATGATAATTATGAATTAGTTTTTATTAGTTGATTGTTACTTATCTGACATCATGCTGCTTGTTAAAATTGTTTTCCTCATTCTAGGTCCTTTACACACTTTCTTACGGGAGTTTGTGCCATCGTTGGAGGCATATTTACAGGTATTGCACCTTTCAATCTTGTTTCTTTCTAAAGTATAAACATTTGCCATCGTACTCTTTCTAAAGTCTGCATTGTCCTGGCTGGTAATAAATCCCTGTTTGATGAGGAGAGATGATTTCACTCTTCAGGAGGGGATATAACATGTTCTGCAGAGCCACAGAAGTGGCATCAGATTGTAATTAGCACTGCAGACTTAGACCTATTATAATATTTCATTTGATGAAATATTTCATTTCATTATGATGTAGACCTGTCATAATATTTCATTTTGATGCTCTACAGAACATTTTGTTTTCAAATAATGCAGTCTTTCACATACTGTATGAATGTATCTGTACTGTTTTCTTGGCCAGCTTGGGTCTGTAAGCAGATAGCTGCTTTCATGTGGAGCCAAAGTCAGTAAAATCTGTGAACCCAGGTCGCCATGGGCATAACCATCTCAGAGGTATCAAATTGTGTTACCAGACATAGGAGCTCCAGTGAGTGCTCTGCAGGGACTAAGAGTAGCCCTCACAGCTAGATGGGGTCCTGTAAGGAGAGGCTGTTCCTGCAGAGCCGTTTGAGTGTCGGGACTTCATTCTCAGTGCTGGCAGATGCAGTGGCAGAGAAAGTTAAGAAATATCAACATCTAAAAGATCTAACTGACGAATACCAATACTATTAAGTTTATAGGATTTCCTTTAGGAGCACATGAAAAATGGTATCAAGGCAATTATGAGTTATTAAAAGAATTAGGACACTCTGATTCCTGACAGGAAAAGGTCACTCGTTGTTTATCGAATCAGGCGTTATTTTATTCAGTAGATATTGTACATATGTTTGCTGGTCAAAGGCTTTCAAAAATTATTTTTGTGATAAATGCAAGTGCCCTCTAGCACTGATTAGGTTTGACAGCCAGTGCATAGTGTTTGCTGCCATATTCCATGTTCAGACTATATTCTAGAGGACAGATCAAATCAGCTGTGTAACAGTTTTTGTGTTACAGCATCAAATTGATTCCACAAGTAGAGATAATTTCAGGGCAAAAGAACCACAAAAGACAGTCATCTGTAGCATTACTCAAAGACCAGATAGTAAGGCCGATAATTCTGTGTTCTACAGTAATAAACAGAAGATTCAGTTCCCATTTTAGCTTCTACTCTTTATATAGTATTGAAATGTCTGTATAGGGCCAAGTAATTGCTTACTTACTCCTTAGATTGAGGTGTTGAATAAAAGAAGAACATGAAGCTTCATAAAGGCATTGAAAATACCTTTGCTGACTGGCACCCTGTGTTCCCTCCCTGGCAGGAGCTCGTGGATGCAGGGTTGTATGGGTTTTGTGGTGCAGTAGACCTATTCTGAGCTTTTTTGTCGTCCCAAACAAGCACTGAATTAATAGGCTTCTTCAGTGCTGGAGAGATTTGGGGAAGATACTGTAGAAAGAACTAAAGGCATTGGTTTGTTTTGCTTTGTGTCCTTGATGGGTAAACATTGCAGTCTCCGATAAAGGGCATCCATAAAGGGCAGCATCAGGTAATGTAGCTTACTTTTAAGGTTACTGTGAAATAAGCAAGAAATGGGAAACATGCCCTTGGCAAGCTGCGTCAGGGCAATGACATGGCATAAAGCTCTCCGCATCAGCTTCCTCTCCAAACTCCTCTCACTTATCAGTAAACACACATGACTCGGCCTGTCTCATTTTTACTTCTTTTTCTGGAGAAGCATGATCACCTCTGCCCTGCAAGCTGGATCTTGTCTGTCCTAATGAGATGAGGACCTTATTCTTCTGTGCAGCAGCAGCTGTTTTCTGTCTGGGGGAGCTGGAATTCCTTTTCACTGACAGAAGGGTTTGTGTTTTCTTTCCCTGGGAGTTGTTCTCTCTTTGAGGCATGTCTGGCTTGATCCATGTGTTCTTTCCTTTTAGTTGCAGGATTCATTGACTCCTTGATCTATCACTCAGCACGTGCCATCCAGAAGAAAATTGAACTTGGGAAGACAACGTAAATAAGCAACGACCTCACCCCACAAAAAAAAACTCTAAGGAGAACTAAACAGGTTTTTCGAAACACAAGTGATCTTCTGCGTGCACAAGAGAAGAGGTTTGGAATTATCAGATGGCCCTGACTGCTCTTACATTACTGTCCCATCATTCTTTGTTTGACATTAATTTGTGGATGGAACTGCTTGAACCTTGCTGCTATAAAGAGTAGCCATCACGTCTGGCTGTGCAGACCCTACTGTAAAAACCGTTTTTTGTCAGTTCATGTTCATCCAGTTCTGCCTTCCTGAAAAAGATGCTGGAGATACTGCATTCTGTTTGCCTCCAGGAATAATGTACTGTTTTGTCATGAAACCTGGAATGGATTGAAGTTGCCATCAAATAAGCTTTCTAGCAACACCATCTAGCTTTTTAAATTTTTCTTAAAAATGTTTCTGAGTGTGCTGATGCTGTATGCCAGACCTCTGTCGAAATATGCTGAATCCCATGCACTTTCCGTCCAGCTGTCCTGGGCAATGTGGTGAGACCTAGCACTTGGGATGTGCTTACTGTGCCGTGGGGCACTGCAGTTGCTCCAGATTGCTGCTCTTACGAAAGATGCAAGTTGATGTTTCAGCAAAAGACGTGTTCGGAGTTTTAATTGATTTTTAAATTGGATTGTGTTTTTCACTTCCCCTCTGTTTATATTTTGAAATAAAGTCCATCCTCTGTGTGTTTTGGTAAAGCATTTGGAAGAATAATTAAATTATTTGAACTAATCGTGGTAGTGAATTGGAAATTATAATTAAAAAACACACCTGCATTGTGGCAAAGTATGTAAATATAATGATGATTTTTTTTTTCTTTTTAATGATCTACACAAGTGAGTGAAGTGCTGAGTATATGAAATTATATTGGGAGAAATTTGAAAATAATGAGAAAAAATAGAATATTGTGGATTCCTGCCTCGTTTTCAGGCAAAACAGACTCATTACTCTTAAATCTCAGCTCTGGATTTGCTTTGGTATTGACTCTAAACTTGGTCCAAGCAATTGGTTGAACACTGCACAGTGAGTGTGAGAGGCACAGGATCAGATAATGCAGAGAGAAAGCTATAATTCATTATAATTCATTTGAAAGTAGTTTTTGTTTGTGGATTTTTTTTTTATTAGTCAGATTTATCTGCAAACCAGGGAGACTAAAACCTGTTTTTTTCAATCAGGGAGAGAAGCAATTTGAGGTGTGGGTAAGGAGATGGATTGATTAATCTCCAAGCTAGAATACTGAAAAAAATGGGTTTGTAAAAAAACAAAAAAAACAAAAAACAAAAAAAACCAAAACCAAACAAAACAAACAAACAAAAAAACCCCAAAAACAGTTGAAACAAGGATATTTAATAAATCCATTGGGTCAGGATCACATAGTACTACTACAATGTGAGGAAGGGGACATAGTATCTATATGTTTTATCGGGAGCAGAAAAAGCTGCTGAACAGCTTCAATCGCTCAGCAGAGCACACAGCTTTGTAACTAAATTTGAAAGAATAATTGGGAGGAGGAAGATGAATGGAAATAATGTAGCAAGAGTTTAACCCACAGTTAAACAATTGCCAGCTATCACTTGTCTTTGATAAGAAAGCCAATTACTTGTAAACCTCATGAAAGCATTGGAGAACATCACACAGAGCTTTGCTTAGCACCTAGAGTAAACAGAGTGAAGGTGAAGGGGCAGGTAAGTTCAAGACTCGTACTCAGTGTGGGAAACTGGATATAATGGAGAAGAGAAAGAGAAGACATACAGAAATAGAGATTCCACCTGAAGAATGAAGCTAATAGTTAACTCAAGTAATACAGACTTCTGCTATAAAATAGGAGCTTATGAGTAGAAGAGATCTGGTGATTTTAATAGACTGAAAGACCGAGTGGTCTCAGCCATGGAAAAGCTGAGTCGGATTCAAGTATGTTTGTGTTTGTAATTGAAAGTAGGAAAAGATGTCCTGCTAACCCTGCTCTGGAGGAGAAAACCTCCTTTGGGGAGCTCAGTCTCCAGGGTCTGCAATCTTGTTCTGCAGGGTGGGGCCGAGATAGATTGTGCTGTCTTTTCAAAGCAGTAAGGGCTCAAAAAGAAAAGCGAATGTTAATAATAGTCATGTGTGTTTTCAAAGTTTATTTAACACAAGATCATTTCAACTGCACTTGATTCTGTCATCTTCTGACAGCATGCTTGATTTTTTTTTCCTTTCTTACTCTGATACAATTTCAAAAATACTTCCGTAGTTATAAAAAGACAGGAAGGGAAGAGGCCTCTCTCTGCCTCCCCAGGGAACAACTACAAACCTCGCGCAAGAGCCATCAGTGGGTGGAAATGCCAGCTCTGTCATGCGGACAGCCACATTTGAGTGGCTGCCGTCACCACCACCGCTGTCACCCAACAGCTTCAGAGCCACTGCAGGGACATGCACAGCAGCTCACGGGCTCCACACCCACCTCCAGCCCCACCGTCTCCCCTTCCTCTCTCCCTGTCCAGCCAAATGCAATGTCCCTGGTGCCATGGGAGCATGTCACCTCCTGGCACTCACAGTACCCAGCTGGTGGGACCAGCACAAGCAGCACTGAGATGCCGGGAATAGCAGCATCCACAGATGCCTGGGCATGTAGCAGTGCTGGCAGGGAGAAACAAGCTAAAGAGCCAAAGTAGGTGGCCAGCAGTGCAGGGGGCTGCCAGTTCCTGTGCTAACGGCACCTGGCTTCAGTTTCTTGGAAATGCATCATTTGTAGAATAAAATCCTGCCTTCCGCTGCCAGTCTCTTGATGAGACTGAATTCGACATCAGCATCGTGGACCCTTGTCCTGCGAAAGGCTCCAGACCAGCGGTTTTTCTCCCAGTAGTGGTGCCAGTTCCCTTCACTGTCTGCTCCAAAGCCAAACACGGACACCTGCACACACACCAGCAAGAACCATCACTAAGTGGGTGCTCGGTCAACCTGCGAGCGCACAGACAAGTGGTACAGTGGCAGCACCCAGTCCTGCTGGCCCTGCTCACCTGCTGGCAGGTGTGCAAGGCAAAGAGCAGGGCTGTGAAGCCGGTGGAGGGGTACCGCCCATGATGCTGTGTCCAGTTGTCATGGATGTACTTGAGGAAAGCTGGGCTCAGGATCAGCACCTGAGTGGGGAGCAGAGGGAGCCATCAGCCACTCGCCGTGCTGTGAATGGGACAGCCAGCCCCCACCACCAGCACAGCCACCAGCCCTCCCACTCGCCAGCTCTGCCTGCATCCCACTGAAAAAATAAGCCCAGTCTCTGCCCAGAGGAGCCCTGCCTGCCCAGGAGGAGCTGGAGACCACTGAGCCCTTACCTTGTTTCTATCAGCTTTGATGAACTGTTTCACTCTCACATATGTGCTGCAAAAACGAGAGAACAGCAGTGAGCATGGGACACTCCCGCTGCCAGGGTATCTCCTTTGGAGGCAGCTAGTTTGCAGAGGTGGCTGTGTCTGCCAGCACCTGCCCCCATGACACCCCCAGCCACTGGGCTGGCCCAGCAGTGTCCCCTAGCCTGGTTCTGGGAAGGGACACACAAAGCACATGGGCCTACAGTGGGGACAGTCACCAATCCCACCCACAGGAGTTATGGGACTGCAGGATGCCTGAGCCCTGCAGGGACAGGTCAGTGCCCACTTCCCCAAACTGTGGTGCAGAGGGATGCCAGGACACTCACCCAGGGGCCCTTTGTCCCACCAGGACCGTGGTGCCAGGGCCGCTGGGTCCACAGGACCACCCCCCCAGGTCTCCAGCACAAGAGATGTCTCCCCCAAAGCCAACGCACTGTGTGAGCTCTCCTGTGGAGAAGGCACTGGCCACCCAGTGCAGGTCCAGTGGTTTGAAAGGGACAAGGACGAGGTGGACACCGGGCCCAAGGTTCACTGCACTCTCTGGGTACATGAAGTGATGGGTTGTTCTCATGCCAACATCCAGCTCAAAGCCAGTGATCTTTGCTCTGTTCATCCTAGGGGACAGCAGGAAGGCACATCCAGAAATGAAGTTGCACACCATGCCAGGCCCTGGCTGCTGGTCCCACCAGGCAGGGACACCAGGTCACCCTGGTCAGCAGCAAAGAGGGGACATGGGCAACACAGGGCCAGTGTGTGCCCCAGGGTGGGGGGGCTCCAGGTAGCATGGCCAGCAGCCCCCCCCCCCTCCCCCCCGCCCCATTGCAGGGCTTGTGTTGGAGGATTTCACAGGGTGGCCGGGGTTGGGGCACGCCAGGGTCCCAGGGAGGGGCCAAGCCCCTTCAAGTCACCCACCTCAGCACCCAGTCATGGGCATCGATCTGCAGCCCATGGCCAGACCCCTTCAGCCGCCCCGAGTTCCCCACCACTGCACAAGTCCTGCAGCAAGATGAGTCCCACACACCACTGGTCAGGGCTGGGAGGACAGTGAAGAGCTGACGAATTATGGCCTGAAGCTGGACACCACTCGGGGGACCCTGCAGGGTCTGGGGGAGCAAGGGCACAAACAGGCAGCATCAGCCCCCTGCTGGTACCCCCAAAAGGGGATGGAGCCCCACTCCTCCCAGCAGAGTCCCGGGAAAGGCACAGAAAACCCCAATAGGATATTAGGAAAAGGGTGTGGGACAACCCAGAGAGGTTGGTGGGGGGAGGGTGAGCTGAGTTCCTTGCAACCCCTTCATCCCCAGTTGCATCTGTTTGACTTGACAGACTGACTGACTTGCCCTGCCCCACCGCAAACAGATTCGAGACGCCCAGGAAGAGCCCCAAGCTCCTGCCCATGCCCCCACTTACCAGCCACCACTGAACCACATCGGCGGAGAGCTCGTGGGCTGCACCCGTCAGCAGAGGCCTCATGGCCATGTTGTAGCGGGCGTTGAACCATGCAGAGCCGTTGGCACCAGCGGTGCAGCAGGCAGCGGGGATGTTGAGGAGGGAGGGAGCCCAAAGGAAGGGACCAAGGCTGTCTGTGGGGGCTCGGAAACATTGCCACAGGACCAGCAGCAGGCACAGGGCCAGCACCACCTGCATGCGCCACTGGCACAGCATCCCTCATGCCACCTGCTGCAAGAGGCCACAGGAACCAGCGGCAGT